TTGCCATCGGCTGTGCACTGCTGCAAGCAGATGCCGAGGGGCGAGATCGGGTGATCGCATTCGACTTTCGCCAGCTCAAGGCTGCAGAGAATTCCCCAGTCCACGACAAGAAATTACTTGCGATGAAGTATGAACTTGCTAAGTTCAGGGTGCACCTTCTTGGCTCAAAGTGGTTTGTGATCTTTATAGATCATGCTTTCTTACGCTTTGCGACTCAGTCGCCTCACCATTTGGAGAGCATCGCCAGGTGTCTTTCTTTCTTCGCAAAATATAACTTCGAGGTGAAGAATAAGCCAGGAAAGCAGAATGCTTTGGCTGATGCGTTGCCACGCAGCTCGGATTATGAGGTTGCTCTTGTCACGACGATTACGTTGTCAGTGACGAATTTGATCCGCGCCGCATGCGCGGGTGATGGTATGTGTGTGTAGCATTGCTACAGGCTCTCGGGAGCATGGAGTTTTGAAACTCGGAGAAGAGACTGCTGAGTTAATTGTTGGCGGTTACTGTTAGATGAGGTTGTCGTCGTGACTGCGCGCACGGTTACACCGATATTCGTTGAATAAGGGTTGCTGTATTATAGCATCGATTTGACGGATACGCCACGAATTGTGGTTCCTCACGATGAGGCTTTGGAGTACCGTATCCTCTATGAGGCCCAAGACAACCCACTCAGTTGTCATCTCAGTCGTGAGATGACGAACAGCTCCGTCAGTTGCCACTACTGGCGGCCCGAGCTGTACAAATTGAAGAGCACATATGTGGGCACGTGTGAGACGTGTCAAAGGGTGAAACTTTCTCCGAATGCGGCGCGCCGCTGGCTAGTTTACCGAAGCCCTCCGGGTGTTGGCAGTCCATAAGTATGGACTTTGCGTTTGACCTGCCGAAGGCCTCGGCGGGCAACACGGGTGTGGTGGTCTTTGTGGACCGTTTGAGCAAGATGGCTCATCTTGCGGCAGTGCCGGACCCATTGACGGTGTGGGTACAGCAACGCTGTTAGTGGATCGTGTCTTTTGATAACATGGTTGACAGAGACCGCACGTTTCACTAAGAAGTTTTGGTCACAATCTTCAGGGTGCTGGATACCAGGTTGACTATGTCAGCAGCGGATCATCCGCAGGCCGAAGGTCAAACTGGGCGCGTGAATGTGTCGTTGAAGACGTTTTTCGCAGCATCTGCGCTGATATGCCTAAGTGCTGGGGCGCCATGCTGCCACTCGTAGAGGTTCTTTGAACAATGCAGTGCATTCATCTACCGGCTACACGCCGTTCAGCGTGAACGGGCTGACGCCGCCATCCCATAGCTCAGGGCTTGGTGGGACAGGAATAGTTGAACTGCCTGCTGATGCCAGCCCTTCTATCCGTAAGGAAGTCGATGACGTTTTGTCTACCAGACTGAGTACGCTCGCGATAAGATGGCTGAAAACTAAGACTTGCAGAAAGAATATGACGACGGTGAAGCAGAAGGAATGTTGAAAACTTTGAGGTCGGAGACCTGGTTTTACTAAATGCGAAAAATCTTCCTACACAAGCAGTCTCTGCTGTCTTTAAGACAAAGCTCTGTCCACGGCTTTTCGGACCTTATAAGGTCTTGGCCAAACAACGACCTTAAAAGGTCCGATAAGCCGTGGACAGAGCTTTGCTGAAGCGTTGGTGCTGTGGCGGCTCGCAAAGGCGCTCGGCCACCCAGAAGCTGAACCAGCAACTGGTTCTGAGCACGGAGTGCACATCTTCCGTTATCAACGGTGGCAGGTGCTCCACCGTCGCACGAAGTGACGTATTCGTTCGCTCGACGGCTAGGAGCCGCTCTGACAGAGCGCAAAAATTCTCAACGTGAGGCGGTCGACGCACAAAGTTCCCCTAGCCCTCGAGGTCTTCCGCTCACGGTATGCGGTCTCGGCAAGATGCTCGGCGGAGTGCCAATGACGACGGGCTTTTCTCTTCGTAGCTCGAAGAGCATCGCGAATCACCGGACGGCGATCGACCAAGTCGTCATCGTCCGATGCCATTTTTCTTGATGAAAATGGTAGCATCTACTACCACGTGAAACGCCTTGGGGGTCGACTTCGTCGACAAGTTCGATCCCAATATCTTGTGAAGTGGCGGGTATACCCGAACTCCGAAATTCGTGGGGGTTTGAGGGGCCACTTTGGCAAGACTGCCAAGACGTCATGGACACCTATGATCAGAAGCATCATGAGGCTCTGCGTCGTCGTACCCCGTCATTCTCGGCGGTAACCCGGGAAGCCGAAGGGCCATGAGCTGAGGTCGAGCTATGGCCCTGAGCTGCTGTGGTCGTAGATTCTCCCGTGTGAGAAACGACAGAGCTCGCGTGAGTGTGATGCATTATATTCCATGTGTCGCAGGGCGATAATACGCAGGAAGTCCGCGTTGCACCTTGAGTTTGGCAAACTCAAATCTTAGATGGCGTATTACGCGCACATCCACTTCCTTGTGATTTCACTGTAAGCGAGACACCGATGAAATTTTCCGGTGCCGCTGCATCTATCGCTCAGAGATCTCCTCATCTTCTGCAGCGGTTTCACCGGGGGCGAGCACCACAGGAATAGTCCGTATTGCGAGTACAGGAGCGCCTTCTCTTTGAGCTCGAAGTCGAACGCGGTACGTATTCAATGGGATTTCTTTAGGTACCAAGAGGCAAACTCGGGAAGCTTTTCACAGATCACGCTCAGCTTGTGTAATGGCCAGGAGCCCGACTACGTTGACGCCTTGCGTTAGAAATGTCGCGTCTTTCGCTTCGGTAGCGGAAACCGACGAGTGAAAGCCGTATTCCACACGAGGCCTAGGACCGACCGTGGATATGAGCACATGAGAGCTGCCCTGTGGACAGCCTCCGACTGCTTTTCCTGTGCTTTGTCGAGTCGATTGGTAATAATACCACTTAATCTGGAAGGCGATAGGTCGGGAAACGGACTCGGTGTCCGCAAGGTTTGAGCAGGGCTGACGTCGCGCCGTTAGGGCACCTCGCCCTCTTTGTCTTCTCATACTGGCAAGGGAGTCTCTGACTCCTAGTTGACTTCCCCCGAATCTTCGAATCCGTTGTCCGTGGCGGGCGCGGTGCGTGGTGCCCGGTTGCCGAGGATTTTGGGTGTACTTCCCGTGAAGCCTCGGACATACTGTCTGGAGATGCACGCGTGTAGAAGACGAAGAAGGGCTCTGTTCGCGGGCGATCTCGGAACTAGCAAGGCTGCGTGTTTTTCGTGTCATAGACACAGGGCTCATTGAGCGGAGAATTTTCATAGATGATCTTAGAAACTCACGGTATCTCAGACACGCGAGCCTCGAAATGTGAATTGTGGGTATTTCAATTTTAATGGAGGAGCGTGTAACGGGGTTTCACGTGCCCAGAGTGTAACGGGGCTAAACAAATCCTTGTACGAAAGGGTGGGTCACACAAGATGGTGTGACCGTACAAAGATATTCATTCCACAAGTCGGTGTAATCACACAATGGTGCGGCTACACCGTAACAAGAATACGTGGCGGGACTACCAGTAGTTATGTATTTTGATTAGGTTTACTATTTAGGAAGAACCTAAGGTTTGAGATATAGACGGCTCTGCCGCAAATAAAACAGTTTCAATTTTGAACGGAGAGTATAATTTGCCTTTGGTTAAGGTTTTGGGTACGCTTGGAGGTAACGGATTGCGATCCGCTCCACTCGCTTTGGTTCTGCCTATAGAACGTAAGGTCGGTGACCTTAGTAAGCTTTCTCTAAACAAAGAGCTACGGCAGCCCCGCTGCAAGTTGGACAGTCGGTACAGAACGCTTTGTGAGCAGCATGTCTATTTTTTCGAAACGGCGACTCAAAACGGGTTGTTTAGTATTTTGAATGTGAGATGAGCCTCATCAAGTATCACCATAAGCTGTATGACAATATAGTCAGTGCTGTGAAACATCCAGCCCAAGAATATGGGATAGCTGCTCAGACATGCTACGAAACGTTTCGATAAAGAGATTTCTAAGCTGAAAGCGGCTCTGCTTTCCAAATTTTCAGCAGCTCAACATATGTTGTGCAGCGGGGCTGCCGTAGCAAAACGCTTGAGGAAGCGTACTTTAGGTCACCGACCTTTCGTTCTTTACAAGAACCACAAGTATGAGTTAGCGGATCGCATACGCTTACTCCAAGAGTGATTTTTGCCTTCGCAAGGCCAACCCACTCTTCGGTTTAAATTCCAAACTGATTTTTATTTAAATTATATCCTAATTTTTAAAGTTTAGATTCTCCTAAATATATATAGTAAAATCTAAATACATGTATAACTACTGGCTTTATAGCCCCGTATCGTATCTTTGTTTGGGTGTGTGGTCACATCATGCACATTTCGTGTTACACACACACCCCTGTTATTAGGGTTCGTGTAACGTTGCATCTGACTTGTGCGCTACATGTAATTAATATTGCAAATCCCAATTAATTTAGTAATATGCATTACTACGCCATGTGGTGGCTTCTTGTTTCAGTGTAGCCACACCACTGTGTGATTACACTTACTGTGTAATACACACCTATGTACGGTCGCACAATCTTGTGCAACGTGCCCTTTCTTACAAAGACACGTGTCACCCCATCACAATGGATGAGGTGGTTCCTTCATGCCCAGGCTCACAAGGTCGTATATACGGGGTACCGGCCCAGCCTTCCACAAGTGACCACCCTCTGGCTGCACAACCAGCCGGCGAAGGTAAATTCGTGACTATTACTTTATGGCGTGACTTGTCAAAATGATTGACCTGGTCATGGCTTTGTAAACCACTCGTTTAAAATTTTCACTTCATACTGTAACAGTTTTTACCACAAAGCACCGTCTTATAAAAATATTCGGTACAGCTCGGTATAAAAACACGAGTAGTTTCCGTGCACCGATTGTGTGCGACTTCTAAGAACAAAAGCAACATTGGTGGAATGTGTTGTACACCATAATACGGTGTTTCAAAAAAAGACACTTCAAATTTTAGGCAAAACAGTATGAAATAGGATGATTTTTATTTTGGCAAAGAGCCTACAAACCTATCAACGTGGATCCATTAGATCAAAGCGTTCTCAATGTGAGAAAGAAGGAGCATAGGATTTCAATAATAAAAAAACAAAAGGCTGCTGATGTTGTGAACGGACAATTTAGCAGCGATCAAGCAAGTCGAGTCGAAATGAAGGGTGGTGAGTACAAAGTACGTTAACGTGCGGTTAAAGTCTTTTTGCCATCATATCTAAGCGCTTCAAGTGGCGTCAAAACGACTGACATGCAGACCGACTTGTTGACTAAGAAACTCTTGGACGAAGAAATTTCGACTTGAAATGAATATAACCATGGTGAAGATCGAAGGTGCGGGCTAGGAGTGCTAGAAAGAATATCCTTCTGGGTGTTAAGCATAAAAAAATTGAATGCATTACGATAACAACAGCCGTTACGCACAGTTCATGCCATACAGCATTACCGTCGGTCGACAGCTAGCTCGAAAGCGAGGCCAAAATTCATATGACAGCTAGCAGCTACTTTGTATTTGTAATCACCAGGCGGTGAGCAAGCACTTCGATATGGTTGCTTAAATATATTCTGTTGTAACCTCTTACAAGTGCAACACTTACAAACTTAAACGATGATCAGGTGATAAATTTGGCATATGTTGATGAGCAGACTGGATTTGCTATAAGCATTTCGTAAGTGACTAATTTAAGAACAGCAAATTTTGGTTACGCAGATCGTTTCGGTAAGTAGGACAACGCCGTGCAATCAATCCTTGCCAACGGATAGCTTTCTTGGTGATTTATATAGACCATTCTGGGAAATGCGATGTATAAGCTTCAGGTTATATTATTGTCGTTATTGTGTCAATTGGTTTTGTGTAACGAATCTAACGTAAAAATGTAGCTACCACTAAGACTGACAATACATGAAATCGAAAGCTTTTCATCCATGCGTATAAACGTAACAGCTGGGAAAAACCGAAAAGGCGCGCCTGCCGCTGCCTCTATCGTACAGTACATTACTAAAGTTGGTTTCGACAATAGCTCCTCATAGCAATAGACCTATTCAGAGTTTTGCTTTTACTGTGCGATTTGTGGCTTGAGACGCACACGAAAAACCAAGAAGATAAGTAGGAAGGGCACGTACAGAGACGAGCAGCGTCGCCTCGACATCACAACAGCGCCATAAGCACACACATCGAGCTGAACACACTTTGAACGAGAAGAGTGCCCCCTTTCGCTGTACAGGAGGTAGCAATTGCAGCCTCCAGCAGTATCCAGTAAGCGCATAAGCAGTTTTCCATTCAGAGCCTATTACGCCAAAAGGAATTCGACTGAACTGAGTGAGTTAAATGGCTAAAATTAAGCAACATGGGTTCGCCACGCCGCTACTGCGGCGCTCAGCCACAGTGTCCTCGGCAGCCGCGGCATCTGCAGCTTCAAAACTCAAAAGCAATCTTTCTACAGTCACTAAGCTTCCCACAGCTTTAAAGCGCACAAGTGCGACAAGTGGAACCACCGCTACGGCTTCGACAGACTGCGCGCCATCGCTCTCAAGATCTAGCACCGCTTCATCAGTTGAGGAGGAAACCAAGGCGACATCGAACCACGGCGGCAAGTTCGGCCTCTCATCGATAATGCACATTAGAACCAGCTTTATGGACAAAAGCCATTTAAAAACGATGGCTTTAAACGGTATTCATAACTCGCCGAAATCTCAACGGAATAATGACAGTGGAAAAGAGCCAACCACACCTCGGCATTCGGCATCTGCTATTAATACAGCTTCGCGTTTTGTTAAAGGGGTTCCGACGTTGCTGAGACGTGCTGTTACCAATAATCATGGTGCAAATTCTTCTTCTGTAGAATCACCCGATGCAAATGTCGCTTTTACTCCGCGTGAGGGCATTTCCGAAGATGATTTGGAAGAAAATGAACGGCATTCATTGCTCATGATGCTGCAGGTGCCTGAAGCTACGATTTCGCTGATTCCATTGATGGCGGTTGGCGAGGCTTGGTGAAAGGAAAAGCAGTCAACCAATCTTTATTCTCATTCACTGCATAGAGCAGTATATCGATGCCGTATCATTGACTGAAACAGCGCTTTTCTGTTCTCTCTTGTGGTCGCCTTGACCGTACAAATGTATTGTTGTCACAGCTCACGATTGCAATCTAACACTAATATTAATGAGACAAAAAGGTGTTTTTTGATATTTCGAACCATCCAGCATTAAAATAGCTGTATTATGCAAAATCCTGCTTACTCGGCGTGTAAGTGATGTTCGGCGCCACCGAAATCATTTAAAATCGGTTCGTTGTTAACTGCTACAGGACGTGGATCAATTAAGTAGCGGCTGTCCAATAAAGTAAAAAGAGTCGTAAATATCTGCATCCCATGTTATCGCTACAATTTATATAGAACAAGCTTACATAAAACGTGGGGTAGCAAGAGGTCGTCGAGTTTTCCAGCCTCGTATGCTTGCGATAGTAGGATAGACATCTAAAAATGTTTAATTAGGACATCTAAATGCGAATGCATTACCAACTTTCACGCACCTTCCAAAAAATAATAGATATGCCCAACAATAATGCCGATCAGATCCGTTGTGGCGCTGTTTCCTAACAGAATAGAAAAGGAAAACAGCACCCAAGGTAGGTAGGGTGCCGTGAATGGGAACAGACCGAGGAAGCTCATCCGCACGTGCTCGTTACGTCGACCCCAGAGGTACACCATCATAAACGTCAATGACGATCCCAGAAAGTGAATGTTCACAAAAGGTGCCACTAACTGCAAGCACCGAGCATATTACAAGTAGTCACATTGACGCCACAAAAATAAACGTTATCGATTCTGCATTGACGTACAATCATAAATGCGGCGCCCAGCAGCAACATGTAGATAAAATCCGCTGTCCGACCCCGGAATGATCCTTCCTCTAGAAGTCGACAGTAACGAACACTGTCACGAGAAAAAACATTGCGCTATAAGTCAACCGACCATTGTCTAGCCCAAGCAACTTTAAGTTCACGTACACAAAGTACATGTGGAATAGGAAGTCAAGGCTAAATAGCCCAAAAAACAGAAAATTTGTCACTAGTCGCCATACCTATTACATTGAAGCAACAATTACAATCAGGCTTAGCATCAAAGTAAATGGCCATTATAATTGTAGCACGTACTTGTCCTTTAAAGAAAATCAGGTTAAAGTTGAAATATAGTGAAAAAGGTGACACTAGATCCAGCGCACAGGCCGTCGTCGTAAGAAAGGACCCTGTCAAGTACAGCCGCGATACAATCGGTATCTCGTAATACCATTCCAGTGGGTCGTTCATGGCAGTGAGGGACGTTTAGTTTGCGCGTAATAAATCAATTGGCAGAAATGACGTTAATTGGCAGAAATTAATCTCAGTAGCTCAGCTCGACCCGCAAAATAGACGTTGAAGTGACCTACATTCTTCATACTCCGCTTTTAAGCATTTTAAATTTGCAGTGATGAACCGACTGGTTCCTTATCGTGTTAAAGTGCCGGAGGAGGTATTGACACGTATCGAACAGATGCGTAGCACTACGATGTATCTGGTACGGACAATAGGTCCTACGTCTTATGTGGTACGACTGAGAATATTACTTTTAAGGTTTAAGCTAACGAATTGGCCAATTTAGATCCAAGAGCAGAACTGCGACAAGAAATACAAAGTCTTGATTGGATCGATGCAGACCTGTAGCTGCGGCGAACCAGACATTTGTATCCATATCATGTTCGTTATGCTCAAAGTGCTTCGAGTTCCGCCAACGACACCAATCGTATGGCAGAAGTCTCTTCTTGATTCAGAGGTCGACGTGATGCTTGACTTAACGTTATAGGTGATCTAACGTTTCTCATGACCTGCGCAATATTGTTAATACTTAGATTGAAATGCTGCTTGAAGGTGGGTTTGGGCAAATGTCAACGTCACATATGAAGAGGCTCAACGAAAAATTTACAGCTATTAGTTTGGGGGATGAGGAAGTAGATCGGCAAATAGTAGTAGAGGGAGAAGTGTGTGCTATTTGCCAGGAAGGCATGAACGACTACCAACTGCTTACTTTCTGCCGCAGAGGGTGCGTGCATGGTTCTGTGATGCGATATCATACTGTTTACATGAGGTTATATGTGTAGTTGTGGCAATAATTTCCACATTGAATGCATGAAGGTCTTCGGAGAGAGTCGACGTCAGTCAAAAGAACACATCATTTGTCCGTTGTGTCGTCACGATTGGGGCGACGAAGCTCTCACAGTTTTGCAAAACGAGATAAAGGCCGCAAATAAAGCTCCAAATGTTCACAGGGGAACCTCGTGCAGAAAATGCAAGACGAAACCACTTCGATGCGAGCGATATCGCTGTGTACAGTGTAAGAATGTAGATTTGTGCGTGCGGTGCTTTAAGTCAAGGGTCCACCGGAACCATGCCTTTGTGATGAAGCAAAACGTATCTGACCCGTGGGTCCCAGCATTACGTGACACCCAGCCACTAGCCGCTATCAGTCAAGATGTAATACGGGATCTAGAGACTCGCGAACTCTCAACTAACGATTACGATGTGCTACTGCAACTTGATAGTGGACATGATAGCCTCTTGCAAGATTTTCTCATGAAAGTTATTTCGGGAACAAAAGTTAGTGCCGATAATGCTAGTACGTTTGGTGAGTTTGGAGCAACGTGTTCATTATGTGCTCAGAGTCTTCGGTTGAAAGCTGCCTTGCATTTGGTATCGTGTGGGGTGCGTCGATTTCGTTTTATGTATGTAACAATATGTTGACATTGTCTTACAATATTTTCACGATACTCGTAGCATGTGTTCCATGAAAGCTGTCTTGCATGGTCCATTTTATCCCAAGTGTACAGCTGTCCATTTCCTCGATGTAATCTTGCTCTGCTGCCTGGTTTGCTGTATTTACAGCAAGAACACAAAAAAAGTAAAACCTCGCAGCTTACCCAGTCCAAACTTCAATCATTGATAACGCCAGATTTGAACTCTTCATTTACGGTGCGAGGACTCCAGCAACATCCAAACGCTCTCCGATCGGGGTGCAATATTTTGCCCTTAATCGCTGGTCCAGTTTCGGGAGGTACAAGTGTTATACCGCTTGAACGTTCCTGTACCAACTTGCCTGCCTTGGATTTTTCAGCACCGAATAGACTGAAGCACAAAAACATCGTGAAGGCGACTCAACGCTCAACACTGCACACGAAGAAAAAAGCAAATAAGCATCCGCATGGGGAGAACATATTTACTACTCCTGATCAGAATCAAGGACGCTCTTTGGTCCAAAATGACAGTGATAGACTCGTAGTTTATCCTGGTCATCTTGCGAAAATCTGCGCTGAAATGGAGATTGGTGATGCGGAACGATTTTTGAGACAGAAAGCGGGCCAAAGGGGTCAACTTCAATGCGGCAATAAGTGTCTACGCTTATTTGCAAATGATCTTATCAGTGCAGATGGAAAAACAGCTCGTCACATTACGAATGTTCAAGACTTTCCAGTTATACGTTACAACAAGGCAAAGCAGAGGTTTACGAAACGACAAACGCAAAAACAGTGTCATCAAAAATTTTATGTAGGCAACATGTCTTCTGTGTAATCTTAATTTTCAAGTTATAGAATTGCGCCGGACATGACGTGATGGATGAGGTGGCAGCATATCTCCTTCCCTTAAGCTGTGAGAGAAAGGACCGGAAAGGTTGTTCTTACTTCGCCGAAAATAAAATGGAGAAGACTGTGGTGTTCGAATTTTACGACGACGTCTACGAAGAAACATGGAGAGGACTGTCAATATCATAACAGCGATTGAAACGTAGATATCTGGCCTCGAAATGATAGCGAGCGCTCGTAATAACATGTCTTCGGTGGCTCCAGCAATGTTATGTCTGAAAAGACACGAGGAAATCCGACGCCTAGCGGAGCCACAGTGTTCGATCAAGTTGCATATGGTTCCTTCTAGCATGTGACACGACAACTGCATCGAAAGATGTGGAGTATCACAAGAAATTTTTTGAATCATTCCAGCTTGGGCATCAATCATGGTGATCGGATCATACTCGGGCACCACGGCAAAATTACGATGATGCAGGCTTGCTCGGTGAACCTTCATCGACATCCCACCTATGTGGTGAATTAATTTACTATAACTTTGTACGAACCCAGGTGGTGAGAAAGTCACTGAGGTTGCTCCGACGATAGAACCGACCAGACGCGCGATACCACCACCCATTGAGTGACCCGTGAGCACTACCTTACGGTCTCTCCGAGCTGTGACATATTCTAATAGCTCGTGATAATACCATGACTCGTGTTGCAAACCTAGTAGTCCAATCATCTCGCTGTATAACTCAATCAAAGTGGAAAACGTTACGTCAGGCCAAATGCGAATGGTTGGGAAGACCGAGGACAACACCGAGAATACCACAGGTTCAAAGAACATTTTTACGTCCTCTACAAAGTCTGTGAATCTCCAAATATCGGTGCCACGCACTGAGATGACGCTTGTATTTAGATTCGGTATGTACGCTTCGAAAAAGTCGAGCTTTGACCCGGTTTTGGTATTCAGTGCAGGTAAGTAAACGTGGATGTCGCCCAATTTATTGTCAAAGATTGTTGAGATAAATTCGGCTGTGTCATTAGACAATGGATTAAAATAGGCAGCTTCGGCAAAGAAAGCTAAATCGATCAGACTGAGGCCGTTCCAGCGATTTGAACAGCTCGCGTAGAGTGGATCATCCACCGTGATTGCATACGCGGCCTCTGTGGCAAGCCCAAGTTGCAATTTTACTACTCCCGTATGATGAATGTGGATCGATTCATTTTCGAAAACTACCGACGTAGCGTCAGGAAACCATTTTGCGCTTTTTTGAAGTGCTGAAAGAACACTGAACCCCGATATAGCACCCACGAAGAGCAGCAGGATAGCAAGCGCCAGGTACACAAACTTTTTGGCCGTACGATGACCCAGAAGAGATGTCTCATCAGACGTCGTTTCCTGAAGCATTTGCTGGAGGGATTGGCCCATTTCGCTCATCGATGAAGCAGCTTCCGAACGCAAGAAGCGATCGAACAAGAACATGGTCACAACAACGAAGACATGAGGCTTCTCTGTCATCTTCGAGCCTACAACTATAAAGCCTGAGATGCACAGGGCAAGAGGTGCGGCGATTAACACTGCACGCACGCTCAGTAAGCTTACCATTCGAAGACAAACTAGCGATATTACGTAAATGGATGGCAATAGCAAGTTGATAATTGTAAGTTCTAGTTGTGCGTGAACAAAACCCATGTGCGGGTGCAAGCACGCTCGAAAAAATACAATGCCCTGACCAACAGCGAAGGTAAATTTTAGACGCTCAAAAAAATTAGAAAGTGCTTTTTTGTTTGAGTTACACTCAGTCACGTTGGGGATCGAAAAGCAGGTAACAGCCAGAAACCAAAGGATCCATCCCACAAGCAAAGCCATACCAAAAATTTCCCACTGGTAATTCGTCAGGTTGCTCAGCGGTGTAACTTTTAGACCAAAGTGGCGTGCACTCCATTCAATAGCCCACAAACCACCCAGAAAATTCATTGCTAGCAAGCAACCACCCGAAACAAAAGTTTTTAATGTACTCAGGCCAGCAAGTGCCGAGCGCCATCGCGGTAGAATTTCCAGACAAAGCTGAATAAACTGGCAAATTGCAATTGCAGTTGATATACGCAATGCGCGCTGAAATACAGGATGCTTGTCCGTTAATAATTTTAGATATGACTCTTCGCACATGACTTGAATCAACGTTGGAGACTTCTGGAGATCTGGGCTATTGCAGTGCGAAGGTACCACAATCAGGCTAGGTAAGATAATCAGCATAGGCATGGCAACTGTAAGGATAACAGCTTGTGGACTACATTCACATGCAATAATACGACGGATAAGCGGAAAGTTCTGCAGTGACTGCCATGTGAGAATCCACATTGCTCGACCGAAAGACAATACAATACCCATGACTGACACGTACACCATCAGCACGCATACTGCTTGCGTAAATGGCATCGTTATGATTTTGCTCATGTTTTCGCCCAGCACTGCTCCAACATTAAACAGAAAACCCCAAAAAATTGCCAATGCTTGCAGCATCACATACACGAAAAAGAACGAGACGATAGTGCGCGAGCTCTCGATGCGCTTGAGAGCCTCCTTGGGAAAACTCACGAACATCAGGCGAAGTGCCATTTCCCAGCGTAAAATACCTTCAAAGTATCTTCGTCGCCAAAGTACCAATTGTGTAGCACGGAATGCGTTTAGCTTACGCCGAGGTGACTTCAGAACCCGATGCTTCATGTTGCTGTTGTTGATAGTAGTAATCCGCATTTTATTTCTTAAGGGTGCGTCGCAATATTGGCCAATCCCTTGCTTCCAGACAAAAGACACAGGGTTTGGCTTTGGTTGCAAGGGAGGACGTGATAGACGTGAGCTGGTTGTGTCCACTCTCGACGGGGCCATCTAGAATAGCGAAAGTTGTGTTCTGAGCGCACCTTCTATGATTTTTATCGGGTGATAGCTGCTGGTTGAGACTGTGTTTTTAACATAAAGTTGGGACAGAGCTGGCGACGATCTGCAAGATGACCCCGACATGTCATTCCTAGCTTCCGAAAGCTCGTAATAAAACAGAAAAAGCTGTCGAAATAGTTCACTACTGAGAGGATAGTTTTTGTCATGGGTTACCTACCATGACAACTCACACGAAAATATGGTGTGTCATACACTTTAAAGTTGTCTTATTTAATCAGCATAGGTCAAGATGCATAAAATGCATACATGAGTCAGACCCGTTCTGGAGATATCTACTGCATGAAAGTGTCAATTGCATGACGATTGCAACAACCCCTACAATTGATTGGTAAATTCTGTCAAATACCGCACGTACCGCTATATGCTATTATAATGGGGTACGTAACTGACTTCTAGATCTTGAGTACGACAACATCTCAAGTGGGACAAAACTCTATATGAGCACACTTCGTTCATCGAAATATATCAAACATTAAAAATAATTCACGTCATTTGTAGTCATAAAATCAATGGGACGAGGTGATCGAACGACCATCAAACAGAAGCTTATTGAGAGCGCGTAAATGATCCTCAGCATGTGCCGATCGTCGCATGGTCACCCAAATGATACATCTGGTACTGAAGGACAAAGAGACAAGAGCGGTATGAAAGCATTTTGTTCTTTCTCTTCGGTTCATGGGAGTGCATGACATCGCGGGAACAAGAGTAATTGAGTTACGTACCGTATCATTGTGTATGTGCACATTACACATTTGTAAAATTGTACAAAAATAGAGTCCTGATACTAATGAGAGTGATTAAGTTTCACTACGGTGAGTTCCAAGGGAAGCGTGGACTTTCAGCGTCACGTCGTGTAGTATTGATTATTTTTTATCGAGCATTTAACAATAGATAAGTTTGTAGTAATCTGAATAGACCTACTTTTTAATATGTGGCGAGCATCGATTGATAAGATCATGTCCATCGTTATTTCTTCATCATAAGGCAATTGACGCCTTAAGGTCCGAAGGTGGTAATCTTTAGCCTGAAGGCGTTTACCAGCTATGATAATGCGATAGTGAGACACCATCATAAGGCCGATAATATTGAGTCGTTTGAAAGCAAGGATACAAAAATCTCTATCTCTGAAAGAGAAAAGCTGAGATACCCAAAAGTGGCCATGCTCGAGACAGAGATACAGCGAGTTGCTCAAGCGGCCCCCGAGCTAGAAAGCCGTGCGCGAAAATAGGCAATAATGTATAGATAAGGCGTTCGTGTCATGGGAAGTATTAAATCGACATATGTTGGAGGTGTTCGCACTTTCTAACTATGCGTACCGTGTGCAACAAAAATACCCCTTCAACGTCAAGGAGGCGATAATTAGTGGATTATGTTCAGAAGTAGCGAGCTTTCATCGTATCAATGGTGACAGAACCTCGTTTTGAAGGCATTAGCAGCAGCTGTCTTCGTAGAGAATCTACGAACAGGTGCGACGGAGACTTTCTGCGTCCACACTACTTATATCGTGAAAGAGGTGGATATCCTTTAATTGCGGGTACAGTTTCCACACCGCGAGGCCCGAGAAATCTATAAATGCTTCAGAAGCAGGGGACGTCCACAATAAGGAAATTGATATATGTATGAGCTGTTGGGCGGGAACGTGACACTAGCAGACTTTTCACCGGTATGAGTACTAAATACCTGTGCCTCATATGCCGCCTTCGATTCAGATGAGAGTCGTATATGCCCGACGACCCCCCTCGGAAAAATTGAGTCCTAACAGGCCACCCGAAATCGATCGGTTTGACGGTATTTCGATGAGGTCAATGTTAGTGGCATTTAGCATAAAAAAGGGCGTCTCCTCTAAAAGAGGTGGGATTCATAGCCAGGGTTATTAATTGTTGATATCAACTTCTCAGGCTTTCTGAAGGCGCGGGTACAGTTGCCTTCGACTGCCTGCTGTCAAAAATAGTCGACAGTACACAGAGGTTTTGAGTTTGGCAAAAACAGATACAGTCTTAGTGCGTCTTCAGACGAGAATAATAGTAGAAGTGTCGAACGTCTTTCGGACCATCCATTAAAGGTTGATAACTGTGACCTCATGAAGATTTATCCCATCTTGGACAAGGTGGCAACCCACACCAAAGCTTGGATACCTATTTTAAGGTATCCAAGTTTTGGTGTGGGTTGAACTTCGTGAAACATGGATCGACTGGAAGTTGACACTCTAGGTGCAACGCCCTTCACTCTTAGTGGACCCTATGCGAGTCATTACCCACCAATGCTAAGAAGCAAGAGCGCTTTTAATGCAGAAACAAAGCTGCAGTATCTTTGGTTCAGGGCACGGACCTTCCCGAATTGATGAGCAACGGAGTTGATGAGTGATTTGGCAGAGCTTGAAGGCAAAAGAGGTAGAGAGCCACGATCTCTGGATAAGACAGAGAATATTGATCGTATATTGCGGTCTGTAGATTGTATACGCTGAGCTATAATGAGTGACGGCATAACGAGATCTCTCGAGTGTGTACGCATCGTAGCAGCTGTAAGCTGGTGTCACCTGTATCAGAGCGGTTGCAGACGGACGATTGTAAGTTGCAAGTTGAAGGACCAAATCTTTTAATAATTATGAATGTTCTATCCTTATCATCCTTAACCTCATTGCAGAGTCAGCGATACCGTGTGATGCACCCACCATGTGGAGCAGTAAACCTCCACGGGTTTGTGGCGAGATTAACAATTTACTCGTGAATGGAGTGACCAGTAGTCATATGGGTCAGTTTTTGAATAGGGGCTGAGCTCATCATACGCCATGCTTGAGAAGTCGTCGACGGCACTGAAAGCGAGAAGTAAGACAGCTATCTTCAAGACTCCCACGGATCCTTTCGACCTTTAGATAAGACAGTCTCCTATGTATGTAAATTTATCACGCTTGTTACTACCGAATCAGAGAGTGCTGTATCAAATCATCCCGATGGATGGAACCAAATAATACGATAATCGACAATGCCCCTTACCTAGGAAATATAAGCACGTCATAAACGATGTATCACTGTTGAAGCATGAGGCGGGTATAGTGGGAGGGCATTTATTTGGCCGCTCAGCTCCAAATTTCTGGGTCAGAAATGCTCGCGGCAAGCGGGGAATTGTGAAATGCAGCCGCCATACCAGAGCAATCATCAATTCGATAAGGAACGTTTTGCGGAACAGCATTGTCGTTCGGTCATAATCAATATTCTTGACCTGGCTGATAAAATTACTGCCCGTGAGAAACGCGATATCCCTCTCACTGCGGTGTGTACTCCGCAGTTAGATTCGTAACTTCTTAAGCACTAATATACAAGCGAAGCTTAATCGGATGATGACACAGCTGTTTGCGCCGCGTCATGCCTATACATATACTTATTACGGCAATGTTCTCGTTTCTATTCGTGCATAGAACGGGGATTCGGGAGTGGCAACCACACTGACCACTGACAAGCAGTACTTGAGCGTATCTGTTTACTTACGCTGCTTATCATAACAGAAATTTTTGTATGTCTTTCGTGTCGATAAAACCCCGTTCTAAGATGCTTTGTAACAAACGGGCAGTTCTTTCGAAAATGAAGGCCGTCGTGAATTCGCTAGTAGTTCAGTCTCAAAAGGACTCAAAGAATCGCTTGATCTTGCCAGCTACCGATCCTGTGGAGCAGTGGTTCGCCGCTCATTTCAGGACCGGGAGGTCCCGGGTTCGATCCCCGGGGCCGGGTAGAGTCGGGTTAGAGTGTAATGAAAAACCTTACAGCACGTGCTTGACATGGCTTACACGGCCCCAAAAAAGGGGGTATCGTACCTCATCATATCGTACCAGCTACACGCGCCAATATAGTGTAAGTTAAACCGTCTTGACACAGCCCCTCATCAAGTGCCTTAATGAAGGTCAAATGGGATGGGATGCTAGCTTCAGCGTTTGTCATTCATAGGCTATGTGTTACTACAAGTAGATAGCAACGGCTAGATGCATCCTCTTCTCGAGGTTTTCTAGTTTTAAGGAGGCAGAGATATATTTTCCGTTCGTGACAAAAAGTTTCTTGCGAGAAAGTAAGCTCTTGTCAAGTTCGCATTATATCTGCTTCATTCTAGACTGTTTGCTGTTACTTCAGAGAATTCGTTATTGCGCACAACAACGTCACCACCACACCCCTAATAGAAACGAGATGGTTATTTTCCTTACAGTGATAACCTGCGAGATGGGGTATAAGCCGAGTTGGCTTATCACGGTCGCGGATGCGCTTTTGCGCGGCCCCGTTACTGAATCATCGCATGTTACAATAATGATGCCGCCAATCGATACGGGTCAAATGCGATTTGGGCTCGTTGCTTAAAGTTTTGGCGCGTTATATAGCACAGATTCACTTGATATTCAGCGTGGGCGGTTATTCATGATGACAAACTCCAGAACAAAATATCATAGGAGATTTACGAGCCCTCTTTTTCTTTTGACTACCTAAAAAAAAGACGTAATTCAGTGAGCGCTATGCACTGGCGGTCCGGTCTGTATCATTAGGAAACGCGGTTATGCATATGTGTGGAAAGTGACAACATGTTGAGCTCTCGACGCATGCGTCGGCAACATTAGCCAGTCTACTGGTTCCTGTAGAATACAGGCGAACTTTAATTTTTGGTTCGCCAAAAGACGTGTCGGGTAAAACTCATTTGTTGTCTTTGTGGACGCCGGAGAATATGGCTCATGTTGCTGCTGTCAGCCACTCTGAAATCAGTGAGGATAGATCCAAGCTGGTTCATGACAAACTTTTCCGCTGACATGACGTGCTGGTGATCATTGAGCTGAACTGGGTTCCGCTTTTCATGGTGATGCTTTGGCGAACCTTGTTCAAGGTGTAGGCACTCGATCGAGCATGACCACCGCCAACTATGCACGAAGAGATAGTCAGATAAAATGTTTGACCGCGTGTTGTGAGTATTTTCCGAAGCGTTTGGGCTGAGAGACCGCGAACCTGTAGCGAGTGGCTCCTACACAATCCGTTTGCGTCAAATAACTCTATTCGCACTTCCACAGGTCTTACTGCATTTCATATAGATCGTTTAGCAAACCTCCGCTCATTTGGACACAATCATGGAGCGGCTTAGGTGTTTGCAGGAAGGTGCTGTCAACTTACTTTGACATGCTGATATCCACCTGGCTACACTTCGTAGATTTTTTTGGATCTCATATCAATCTGATTAAGCGTCGTGCACCGAGTGCGTAACACTATGTTTATGAGCCAGGATGTGTAAATAATTAAATAAATACAACTCAATGGGTTGGATAATTTTGTTTCATACGAGTAGCCTACCGTATCATGCAGTGTCTGCACTTAATTAAGCATATTGCGACCACTACACCCGATTGTTTACGGTCGTCGTCAGGAGTATACTCTTAATATACCGAAGTGAATACAAACACACCTTGTTGTCTACGCGGTCACTTGTCATAGCACGCTCCCCACTTGCGAGATGTGACCGACATGGTTGCAAGCTCGATACTTGGCTCAAGGATGTAATGTCTGTCTCATAGAGACGAGCGTAGCTTTACCAGCAGAGATTCGAGGTGATAGGTTGTCGCTTCAATATCTACGTCGTGCTGTGTAATCAGCAGAGTCAAGCATTAAACGGCAATTCAGTCGATCATCTGCTTCACTGAAGCTGGTTTGCAAAGCTACAAGACGAGTGAAGTGATGTGTCTTCCTCACATATTTAGCAGATTGAGTGCGACCCTTCGGCACTTTCGCCAGTATTCAGTGCCAAAACATGTAAGAAACAAATTTTCAAACGACTGCTGCTCCAAACGTAGGCAGAACTACTAAGGAGCGATGTCTGTGACTCAGAATGATCTGGCGTATTGGCATTAAATCGCTCATTTCGCTCTTGGTGTGAGCAAAATCCTGCGCAGATAGGCATGTAGAGGCCCTGACCAGATGCAATTAGCATCAACTAATTTGCATTGACTGTGATCACGATCTACAATAATCGTTACGACCGTTGCGCTTGTAGTCTTGCAAGCTTGAGTATCTGAGCCAGAACCAGCTCATTGGTAACAAGCGGAATGCCGTCGTACAATTTGCGGCGGGAAATCGTGACGCGCTACCGCGGAACTCAGCCTTAGAGAACGCGTGCGGACTGCACAAGTAAGGGACGAAGCGAAGCATTACAAAAGCAACAAGTGAAGCCTATGCCAGTTGTTTCGTGATGAGAACAGTCGTTTCGATACTCGAAGAGTCGTTGTGACTCATCAAAGAACATCTTAAATTTTACCAATAAAACTTAATAGGCGTCAACCGCATAAATTCGGCCGTTCTCAAGAGCTCGTTAAGACACAGAAACACGCCAGGAAAGGAACTCTTGACACAGACGAGGCTCGTGAGAGCAGGCCCTGTAAGGATCAATTTGCGAAATTGAGCCTCAAGCGCAATGGGTTCTCGCTGAGCAATGACGTTCGCAATGTCTTAAAGCAACACCAAAATGTGAGCCCAGGTATGGTCGACAGCTTGGTTAAGGAGGCTGTCGCAACGTACGTACCTTACATTTTTTTAAATGTACAGAACTAAGAGGTACTCAAGGACTAATACTAATGTTATAAATTGTGTAATGTAAAGAGGTTCAAGGGACACGTGGGTCATCAGACCCATGTTATGCTTCACATATACTTATATTTTTTTAGGATAATAAAACAGATAAAGTCAGTATTTGCTTGAAGAAGACTTGCACAATATTAATTTCAGATACGTGTCACGCTTGAGATAGGAAAAGAGCAAGTAACTACCAATACTTATCAAGCCCTCGGTTCCACTGCTTGGTAAATCGTATAGATCTACCCTTCGTGCGTTGATATTTCGAATATCTGGACAAAACATTTTGCTGTGCAGGTCAAATGCCAACAGTGTAACAAACTACATTGTTTACTTTGAACGACCTTGCGGTGTTGTCGAAAGCTAATAACGTGTTCTGATGGCATTAAAAGGAAATGATGGGTAGTTCGCTAACATGTTTGCGCGGCTTTATATCCTCAACACCGTAAATTGAGAACAGCGTCAATCAAATCAGCTGCGGTTGAAACCAGAAGCGTCAGATGACTCTAAAAATACCTTTGTACGGGGTCTCCTTGTCAAGTACCATGCTTCGGATTCATGCCAAAACAATGCCAACGCAGTCGATGAACATCGGCTGTAGGTATGAATGTCATCCTCAGCGTATTCTTGAGAGAGAGAAAAATAGATGACATGGCAGCATTGGAGGACAACTTGCGAAAGTAGCTGCGAAGTCGCCAGCAGAGTTTGTTTGCGCTGATATCACCCACAAGAGCCGAGGCCGTCTGCTGGATGGCGGCAGTCAAACAAGTTTTATATTTAGCTCTTTTCCGTGCATCCCACTACTTTTTAGAAGATATTATAGTCGTGTTAAGTGCACAAAACAATTTTGGACCCGTTAGGGTTGCTTAGGTTGCGATGGCAGAGGCTATGAGCGTCACTGATCAATCTCGCCAAGAATCTTCTCGTCTGACTAAAACGCAACATTTGAGGATTCATCTAGAAGAATGAAGACCCTATGGTCGACGCAATAATCATATCTGGTAGGAAACACGGGTTCAGTCCCATGAGGATAGTCATAATTACATCTCGAGTTGCGACTGTTCTCTTCCGCCTATTCCAATGGCTACACGGCTTTGCCGCATTTTTCCGTTAAATACTCACCGAGCTTGGACATTTCAAATATCTATTCTCACCCCCGCATGAGATGAGAATACCGTGCCCGTTCCACGAGTCGGAGCGGCATGTATCCCTTCTACGGGGCTAATAAGATAATTTTGAAGATGAATGGGCTAGACGTTGCTCAAAAAGCTCATATGTAAACGAGCACAAAACACACAACGACTTTCACGTCGATATGATTATTTTGATAAATTGGCGAAAAAGGCTCGACGTACTGGATTGAAGTCATTGCTACTGTTCTAACCATCAGCGGTACCCGTGTAAAGGTGTGATCTGTAGGGCCACGAAACGCATACGAAACGTATCTCGCGTACGCGCTCCATTCCCAAACGAAGCTACAGGCTCGCACCATATGAGTGCGCAAGCTTTCTTTGGTCCTGCGGCTATGCCACATATTATATGGTTCAATTGAAATTTTGAATAAGCTGCAAACTAGTTAAGGTATGTCATCTTTACTATCCTGCAGCTTTTTCTATTTCAAATGAAATATAGCCGTTGATCTGGAGATCGATTGATACTCGACTTTGTAGATCTCAATGCTGACGCCGAAGCAGTTGCTTGTCCATGGCTTCTGTTCATTCATTCTTGTACCCACAAACCCGCTGATTCAGCTACCGCAAATAAGTTTGTTTGTTTGCACAGCGATTCGCAACACCATCCTACCGCTTACTTCGAAAAAATGCTGGCAAACGGTATGCTAAGTCATTAGCTTCAAGGACCTCATAATATCATATCGAAGTTGATTTAGGGGTTCACGCAGTGAGAAAATGCACTTCCACCGTACCAGATACTGCCTAGCCCTTTTTCAAATGGTCCGACCTACAAGTTTTTCTTCATAAAAGTCGGCTTTGTCATCCAGCAGTTTAGGCGATAAACGATCTTTACGTGGCTGACTTCCATGGTCGACGTGCGTCGACTCGCTTCCTCCAACGCTTTACACCATACAAATTCTTTGCAAAACAAGCTTGCAGGACGCACCAAAGGAGCCGTGATGGAGTGAAAACAATCATGATGATGTACAAGGCTATTGAAACTGTGGGTAGATGCAGTCAATTCGCTGTGTACCTGTTAAATAGGATGATCAGCAAAATAAACCTTGACGTTACATCATAAGATAAAAAAAGTGTTTCCGCCCAGTTCTCGATCATTTATTTCTCGGGGGTATGCGCGTATTGACAAGCCCCAACGAACAACGGGCAATAGCGTAAACTTAAATCTCGATACTGGAACGGTAAAATAGTAGCGGTCAGTTGCTCTCGATGAACATGGAGTATCCAGCATCATCCATATGGAAAACACTGATGAGTTTCATAAGTATCTCCTATTGATAATGCAATATGCTTTCTTGTATTTTAATGCTGAGATTAACCGATGATGTGATCATGAATGACGACTTACGACTAGAAAATGCCTGTAGCGGTTGAAACCCACATTCCTGCTTCAAGTGTTCAGTACGAGAGGTTACCACATATACAAAGCACGCGAAAAAGCCTCTTGCCCAGTGGGGGTGATGTAGTTGTATTTTATTTTTCACTTCTTCGCCGCCGTCCTGTTCATACTCATAGTCACGTGCTGCACGATATGTCCCACGCTCAATAGCGCCATGAAATTGGGTCCAAAGGCACGCATTGTTGGGCTCGAGGTGGAAGGGGGAAACCGTCAGCACGATGTCTCTGACCATATGGATGAGCGACCACCAAAGCGGTAACAAATCAATGATGATAATTGTATGGTAGCGTTCATGGCTGATTAACCAACATCATCTAGCGATGCAACCAAGTATAAAGGCAAAAATCAGTGGGTGGAAGCTATTCAGAATGTGACTGACAAATCAGTTTGCAACATCACATGGGATGCGGTAAATTTCAAATCTGGTATAAAAACTACTGTTCAAAGTAGGTTTTTGCTATAAATTAGAGCGAACACTGCGACATCATTCGGTTAAAGGCGAATATCGTAGCACAAGGCTTTACATAACCTTTTGGTGTCAGGTATTTTGAAAACTTGCGCGCCAATAACAAGACAGTTCGTTCCTTTTTGGAATGCTTGATGAGTTGCTATACATGAGAGGTCCCCTAGGCGGCATGGACAAAGTACTAAAACTGAATCGTTCCCTTCACGGTCTCAAACAAGTGACTCATATGTGACACAAGATTAAACACGACGTCCGTCAGAAAATTGGGCTTAAATTTCATGCAGCTACATTCAAAATTGACCTGAGTCCATGATTGATATGTGCCTCTACATTGATATAGGCTTTTCGCGGCCAGAACCATGGAAATAGGGGATAAAATCATAGCTTACATTATCAAACTATCCAGGATTTGGGCCGAGCCAAATTGATCCAAGGGATAGAAAAGAACCATACAATAAAAAGATGACGCTGACAATATCAGAGCCACTACTGTAAGTTTGCTGAATTGTACCGGATAGAATATTTTTACGTCTGTAGTTCGCTCACCTGTGCTACATCTAAGCCTATACGTCTAGAATAGTTTCGAAGCTTCTACAAGCAACCTGATTTCTCTAGACTAATGAACGATAACCATATGTCCATAATTAACATCCGTACTTATGATGATAACTGTAAACATCACCGTAAAAGTTGTGACGTCATCCACGCACAATCAGCGGTGTATCTCAGCACCCCCACTCACCGCTAATATTGAGCTTGCTCTGATTCTTGCTTCTTGATGCCTGCCTTTTAGCGAAGAAACTTGAGTGTCTTAGTTCCAAGTGCCTTAGTAAGCATGTCCGCGAGCTGAGGCGTTTGTGTCAACTTAGTCGATTTGAATCGTTCTGTATTCAACGTTGTCTCGCGTAAAGTGATGCTTGATGTCGACATGCTTACTTCTGACATGATATCTCGCATTCTGGGCCAATGCTATTGCCCCTTGGTTGTCCTCTCAGACTTGCTTTGCATGATTATGATCTTTTCCCATGTCCTTCAGCATCGAGCGCGTCCACAAAACTTACTGGGTGCACAGGCATAGTGCCATATACTCGGCTTCTGCTGAACTCAGTGCCACAATTTTCGACTTAAACACCACCGGTCCATGACTAATTTTAACCATCACGCCAGATACAGATCGTCTGTCGTCGATATTGCTTTCCTAGTCTGCGTCCGCGAATGCTTCAACCAAGATGTTTCTCGTCCCTTCTATCATATACAATTCCATGCAGGCGGGTCGACTTCAAGTATCTTAGAGCACAAATCACGGCTCGCCAATGCTGTAGTCCAGGATTTTCGAGAATTATTGTTAGTTGCGTAATTACGTAGGCAATGTCCGGTCTAGTACATGTTGCTATGAACATAAGACAGCCGATATGAGAGCGATATGGCTTTGACTGCATTTCAATAGCCTTCGCATCTGTTCCTAGCAATTGTTCTTTGAAAAGCTTGAGATTGGAGGCACATGGGTAATCGGTCGTCTTGGCATTCTGCTGACCGAATCGCTGCGTAACATCGTCAATGTAACCGATCGCTTGATCATAAGCGTTCCGACTCTATTGTCGTGACCAATCTCTTTTTTTAAGATAAACTTTGCGTCACCAAGTTCCTTCATTTTGGAAGCACTCTTGAGGGCATCATTGACTTCACGGATCTCTGCCCGGGTCATGGCTGCAATTATCATATCGTCACGTAGAGTCAAACGTTGATGTATCCGCTCTGTAAGAGCGGATACATCAACATACATGGACTGATCTGCGCCACAGGTCTTAAAGCCATTCGAAACGAAGACTCCATAAATCGTTCTATTCAAGGAATCAGCTGCTTGTCTTAACCCGTAGAATGCCTATTTCAGCAATAAACATGATCTCTAGTAGCCTTACCTCCAAGCAGTATCTCCATATAGACTCGGTCACTTAGCTCACTATTTAGAAGCGCCATGTCCGCACCCAGCTGTTCCATTTCATATCCGTATGCGACGCAAACAGCCAATACAACCCGAATCGATTTCATGTTCGCTACGGGAGAGTACGTTTCAAAACAATCCACACCGTACTTTTGTTTGGACCCCTTTGCGACAAGCCGTGCCTTGAAAAAAATAACTCGGCCGTTCTCATCACGTATTTTAGCGAGAACCCATCGACATCCAATCGGACGAGCAGCTCCGGGCGAAACCATTCACCAAGTGCCGTTTAGCTCATGTGATAGTAATTCAGTCCTTATTGCTGCTCGCCCCGCCACTGCTTCATCACTTGCAACTGCTTCAACGTATGTATTTGGAATGTCAGAACCCACCGTCGAAGCTTGCCGCATACGCCAACACTGCTTCGGCAAGGAATCCATCTTCGTCACTTCTCGGGTGCTTATAAGACGGGGATTTTCGATTTCTTTCGATCTTCTTTCATCATCCAGCTCTAAGCCGTCTTCCAGAAATAAAGTAAGCTCCCTGGAACGTGACTGCTCTATGCCTGGACGAACCACCACACGATTTCCCCCAAATACTCGCAGAGAGTGATATTTTGGCAGCTCTTGCCCAGTTGCTATCCAATTTTCGAGTGCTAGCAGTCGCTCCAGATTAATATTGCGCTCTGATTCGACCTTATCCATCTCAATTTTTTGCGTTGAAATCTCGACACTGTTCATAGATTCGTCTATCACAGGCCGTCACTCAGCAGGAGAATGATCGCTTCTTCATTCAGTTCTTTGAAAATATGGGTGACAAATTCTGAACAAATCATAAACACGATACCCCTTCTCGTTAGGGTCGAGCTTCGTCTTTTTAACGCTGTCAACATGAGCATATCCTTGGGACCCAAACACACGCAGGTGTTCAAAACGTGGTTTCCGCTTAGAACTTACTTCGTACGGCGTCATGTCACTGTTCACAGATCTATTACTCAAATAGACTGCAGTACTTACAGCTTCTACCCACCAAATCATTAACATGTCCTTGTAATGAAGCATGCTTCTTGCCTTCTCCACGATAGTGCGAATCATCCGTTCCGCCACACCAATTTGTTAGGGGCTATCAGGTCAAGTCCGCTGATGTATATTTCTATCCCGGGAGCACAGCTGTGACCTTTTTACAAACGAAGTCCGTTTCATTGTCAGAGCGAATGCATTTGATTTGCTCTCATCATAGCTTTTCAAAAAATGTCTTATGTTCGGCGAGCTTTGCGGCGAGCTTTGCGATGTCCTCACTCTTACTCTCCAGGAAGAAGGCAACCACAAAATGTAAAAAATCATCCACAAATTCTAACACATATCTTGCTCCTCGTTTCGATACCGTTTGCATGGGTCCCATCACATTCGTATTAATTAACTCCAAAACACGTGATGTCGTGGATATTGACTGGGAAGGAAACGGCGATACGGTCTTCTTACCCTCCATAAATCCACTGCTTATAGTCTTAATGTCACGGCGTAAAACTGGCACACCATGCAGTGACATGCTGAGTTTTGACCATACCGCTCTCGCTAAAAAGTCCCACGCGCGCGTGCCACAGCTCCCACTGATTCTCGGGACCGGCGTACTCTACAGAGCGAGCTTCGTCAAGCTTATAATCAAGGACGAAAGTTTTGCTGACCTTTCTGCCCAGAGGTACGACCTTGTTCTCGCCTCAGATATCACATGAAAATTGCTGAAATCTTCCACGTAAACCACGTTCTGCAAGGTTTCCAACCGATAGCAGCCGTCTATCGAGTCCTAGAATGTACATAACATTTAGCATTCTGATGTACTTACTGTCCATTACAGTCAGCTTGAAACTTTCTTCACCAAGAACACGCAATTTCTTTCCGTCTGCAATGGTAACATCGATGCCTATGATCGTATCATCAAACTCAAATACGTCTTCACGGTATGGTGTTTTATGCGATGTCGTACCACTATCGATCATCAATCCGATTTTCGCCAACAGCGAATACCGCGTCTTCATCTGTGCCATCCCTTCCGCCTGAGCATTTTCGTTTCATATGTCCAAATCGATTACACTTGAAGCACTCTCCCTTAAAGCTACCTCTACTCTTCCTTGGACCGTAATCTTTTCGTCCAGGTCCACGATTCACTACTTCCGCGAACAGGAAACGCTTTCTCCGTCGTCTTCTTCTTTTACAACCGTTCATGCTCCTTCAATAGCTTCTCTTCGACCTCGTTTAGCGTATTTTCCATAATCGACACAATATACCGGGAGTCTGCTCAGCAGTTCCACTAGCTGTCGCGCTTCGTCAACAGGGTCTCCAAGTAATTAAAGTCCGACAACAAGTTCGTCGAACGCGTCCAGATGCTTGGACATAGTCGAGCCCCTTTCCATCTTGAACTTATGCAGGCGGCGCGTCATCTCGACACGGTTGTGAAGCGTGGTACAACTGTAGAATTCTCGTAAAATGCTCCAAGCGTGCATAGTCGTCGACGTAGACCGAATCTTGGTTTGGTGCTTTATCTTGATACCCTAAGCAAACTGGTCCCCAATGCCTTGGCGTCGTTGAACAGCCCAGTTTCTGTCATCTCCTCTTCCCTCTTGACGACCTGAGCGTGCGCCAACAACTCTCTTTCGCGCCAGCGTCATGCACATGATAAACTCCCAGTGGAAATAGTTTCCATTGCCTAGGAGGACCTCGGTTCGCTTGGACATCATAGCTGTGAGAGAGAAGCATGCCGGGTAGATTTCTTTGGTGTGTGTAGCGGGGTTGCCGTAGTGTTGCGCTTAGAGGAAGCGAAACTTAGGTCACCGAGATTTCGTTCTATACGACAAACACACATGTACGAGTTAGCAGATCGCAATCCGCTTACTCCAAGAGTAATTATTGCCTTGACCAAAGGCTAATTACTCTTTCGTTTAAAATCCAAATCTGATTTTTATTTATATTTATCTGCGGCAAAGCCGCCTCATTTTAAATATATAAATTTTCCGAGATGTATGTAGTGAAATCTAAATACATGCATAACTACAGGCTACCCAGCCACATACCGTATTTTTGTTTGGGTGTGGACACATCATGCGCATCTCGTATGACATCCCCAACCTGTTATCGGGGTTCGTGTAACCCCGTTACACCCTACCCATTAAATTTGGAATTATTTACATCTCCAATCGATTATTGCCTCAACGAGGCTCGCGTGTCCGCTAGACACTGCAACTTACCGAAACGACTTCTGTGCTCAATGAGCCCTGTGTCAATGACACCAAAATCTCCAAGC